AGTGTTTCTTGGCAGGGATCCGCTATCTAATGGTAGCAATATACAGCGATGAAGGAGCAACGAAAATAATTTTACTGTTAGGGGGTCGCCACAACTTGGGCAATATTATCAAGGGGTCGCGGCACTAGAAAGGTTGAGAACCGCTGCTCTAAGGGGTCTATGCACGAAGCAGCCGAAGGATCTGGCTGTAGCTTCGGCCAATCCTTTGGCTTGCTTCGGCCTCAGGACCCCTTCGGTTTACGCCCGGGAGAGGTTTTTTTTTCTTTTTGACGGCAGCAGAACCGCCGGCCAATAGAAAACTGTTGGGCGGAGCTAGCTGTTATTGCTAGCTCCGCACAATCGTTTTCTATTTACTTTTTTTTACTTTTTAAACTATTTTTCTGTTCTGCTCGGTCCCTCTGAGTGACCAAGCAGAACAGCCGAGCCGAATGCCACTCAGCGGCATTCGGCTATTCACTCCCTGCTGTTTGGCATCTATGAGAATAGACTGAACAGCAGCGAGTAGCCTGCTGGAGGTTCGGCTTAGCCGATCCAGATGTTGGAATGGGCTGAGTCGAACTCCTCCTGCACTTCGGGTCAGCCGAACATGCTGAGCATGTTCGGCCGACCCGAAGCCATGCAAAACAAGTTGATGTACGGCTGATTTCAGCCAATATACGGCTGAAATCAGCCGTGCAAGCATGAAGTGAATAGCCGAACAGTGTTCGGCTCACTTCACTTGGGGTCGGTTGTTCACTTAGTGAATAGACCCGTAAGTTATAGAGGGAGTTTTATGTTCAGCTACTGCCAAAAGAGAGTGATATAGGGAAAAAGTTAATTGAATTGACCGTCAGTAGAGCTCAAGTCAGATTTAAAAAACAGTACAGCATAAGAGAATAATATCTGCACACAGTACCTCGAGCATTAAAGGAGAACTACTCACCTCATAGTTCTAAGCCGACCTGGGACAATGAGACTGTCACAGGTTGGCTCAGTAGATCGGGAGGTGAGAAAACACATACCTGGTTCCCTCACCTCTCGATCCTGTCACGGCTCTCTGTCGTGACAGGGGGAGGGGCTGGATTCCCCTCTCCCCGCTCCGATCTGCCAGCGCTGACTGGCGGAACGGACGGGGGAGGGGGCGGGTACAGCTGGCTCTGCCTCTAGGCGGATCCCGTCATCTAAGTCGGGATCCGCTCCAGGTGCGGCGTCTCAGTATACCGCGAGCTGTAGCTCGCGGTATACTGAGCTTAGGGTAACGGGAGGACGCTAGTTTGTGTCCTCCCGTTACCCTAAGGAGAACTATGGGGAAAAACACTGACCCCATAGTTCTCCTTTAATATATAAAGTAATATATACTCTGTAAAATAAAATAATGGTTACAGTAAATAATTTTCAATTCTTTAGCAAATAAACATTTAATACAGTGTACTTCCATGACACTCAGCTTGCAGAGAATACTGGCGTTTCTAAAGAGAAACCCCACTCCAGCACTGCTAGTATCCTGAGTATGTGTTACAAAAATAAAACATTATTGAATCTACTAGTATACATTTCCAATCTCTATGAATACAGATTAGGATAACCAGCACTGTTTTACTAAATTATCTTATAATCATTTCTTATACAATAAAGCTAGGCAATGCTTGGATAGGAGCAACACAGGTAGAAACCATATTATATATGTTGTTATAATGCTTAAACACTATTTTTGTGTTACATATTTATTTATATTGATTACAAAATAAATTTGTACGTTCTTACTATAAACCAGCAATGTTTTTTTCTTTTCAGGTTTACAAGGAGCTCAGTACATATAATATGGTAAGTACTACAAACACTGACATCAAAATGACAAGCATTACAAGCTTTCTGTTATCCTCTGAACCTCATTACTCATATTAACAGAGGAAGGGTCAGCAGCTCTACTGCTTAGTACCATGCATACTGCTTAGTACAATGGAGAAGTATTGCACTGCTGTCTGAAAGCCTAGGACAAATGTTAAGTGTTTGTAGAGCATTTGGTGAATGTTTTCCTGCTGTTTACCAACTGTTTTTTTTAAAGTTTTTCAAACATTTTATAACAGTGGAATTGATGATAAATTACCCTTCCTCGTCTTTCAAAAGGTTTAAAGGGAAGCAGCTTGAAATAAAGAAAGGGGTTGTGAAGGGGTGTCTGGTGAGGCCATTGTGAAAAGTACTTGATTTGCAGAGGGTATCCTCCCTAAGTGGACTTCTTACCTGTTTCCTGTAACAAAAGACATTAAAACAATTTGACAGCCTGTTAAAATGCTTGCAAAAAAAACTTTATACATATTTGCAAAGTATTTGTCTTCCATTCTGATTGACTACTTATGCGGTTTTAGCCACGTAGCAGCCAGATAAACCAAATGCTAAATCAGAATGCTATTGTGAGCAACTATAATTATTCACACAAAAAAAAGTCAAGTGCATTTTCTAGGCAGTTGTTTAACTGTAGAAACATCACTTTGCTCTCTGTCAGGGGTACCTGGTTCACAAAGCAAATTGAACAGAATTACAAATCTTTTGGCAGGTAAACCTGTTCACATACAGTATATGTATTTGTGTAGATTGTGTAGTGAGCTGGAGGTTTCCCCCAGAAGAAAGTGCTTTTCTACATTGCCTAACATCCTGGGTTAAGAGAAGGCCCTCAGCGATCTCATATACAATGCAGGTCTGCTGGTCCTGCATTGTATGCAATGCTGCCAGAACAACCCGTCAGCACTGAACGGAAGTGGCTTTGGGGAATAGCATAAGGGGTAGACTGCTGGAGGGAGAAATAAAAATATCACCCTATTCATCATCCCCT